TAAACAACCTAGCCCCCTAGTGTTGGGGAATGGCATAACATGTCCGTTTGCCCTGTAAGTGAAAGAAGGACGAAGCTGCGCTTTTTGATTTGTTTTTATTCAGTGCAATAAATATACATTTACAAGAAAACGAGCACGCGTGATTCAGGTATACTGAACGGACAACGTAATAATATAAATGTAATTATCTATAGACACTGAACCCAGCTAAAATATTACAGGCCTTCCTGATTATAAAAACAAATAATAACGTATTAAAATATTTTGTCATTTTTGATTTTGTACAAGTTGTCATTGCTGCTTTATGAGCCAGCCAAGTAAATAGGAAATATACGGCAAATAAATGAAATTTCATTCACACTGCATTGATAATGTTCATCATATTTGGCACCAGTGCTTCAACTTAAGCCATCTTCTTATCAATTACAAAGAAAGCTAATGTATCGGCCATTCTTTTGTGCTGAATTTTGATCTTTCTGCAGTTGGTGAATAATTTAATTCTGGAGGGCTATGAAGATTATACAAAACTTGCATTAAAGGCCATTATATGCACTCCCTAATTTTCAAGATCATCAGGTCCAAATGAAGCTGGTAGTGTCTCCTTCACGGACATTTTTCTATAAGAACCATCAGGCTTGGTCAGGTAAACGTCCCAGTCAACACCAAACTGCAGGGGGAAAAAAAAATAATGCCAGGGTGTAAAGTGTAGCTAATAGTACAGGTGCTTATTATTGCATGTGGTTACTTATTGGTTACCAACTGCACTGGACTAAATAAAACTTGGGGGAGTGTAAAAGGGGAGGAGACAGTGTAAGACGTCATACATGTTCCAAAGTTTTTATTTACAGGTTCATCATTTACCAGTGGTTACTAAAGTATATACTTATGACTTTCTTAGTAGAAATTGTGCATTTCTAGAATGCAGCCCTGCATTTAAAATGTAACCAACAAATAAGAGTGAATAAAAAGAACGTTAAACAACTAAAACACTGCAGAAGTGTCTATAAGGGTATATAGTACACCCTGTGTTTATTTTTCACACAAATAATAATAATAATAACAGAACATACTTCTCTCATCACCTGACGGCAACCTCCACAGGGAGAAATGAACTCAGCTGAATCACTAAAAACATGAAGGTATAATTAGAAAAATAGGATACATCACTGGTAGTGAAATAGCGAAAGTGAATTATAAGGAACTAATATATTTCTCTTACTGTCTCTGTAGTACTGACTGCTAGAGGAGCTTGAAAATTTCTACTATGAAACTTTTGATTGCCTACTTGTCTAAAAGTATCCACTGAAATCGGAGGTCACTATAGTGCTCTTTATTATACTTTGTTGGTAAATATTTTTATACTATTGTTTGAAATTATTTTTATCACCAAATAAAATATACTTCTAACAAAACAATGTATGGAAATAGAACATTTTGCAAGAAACTCAAAAGATTTTACCTAGCAATAGCAATAGCCTTGAACTTTCTGTGGCCATTCGAGATCGCTGTTGAAATGGCATTTCTTTCAGCACAAATGCCTAG